TAATTACTCTTCTTCTTCCTCGTTTCATTTGTTTCCAAGCTAAATCCCGATTCATGTGTTGTAACTAGCTAAGATTTGCCTACTAATCGTCTGATTAAACGATTCAAATCGCTGTTTCGAATCCGTTATCTATTTCAGATTCAGGAGATTTTGAGCGATTTCTCAAAAGATGAACGTGTTTCTCAAGGACATAGCTCCGGCGGCGCAAAACATCATAAACACGCGTTTCATCATCCTCGACAAAGCCAGATCTCCGGCGGCGGCGACAAACGGAAAAAGTTGTATCGCGTTGGCGGCGGATGAAACGGCGGCGGTTCACATACAGCTTTGGGGAGAGGAGTGCGATGCGTTCGAAGCAGGCGATATCGTGAAGCTCACCAACGGGATATTCTCGTACGTGCGAAACAGTGGCCTCGTTCTAAGAGCTGGGAAACGTGGGAAGATGGAGAAGATGGGTGAGTTCACGATTGCGTTTGTTGAAACGCCAAACGTTAGTGAGATCCAATGGAATCCTGATCCGGAGAATCCCAAACGCTATATTCAGTGTTTGCGTACCACCATGGACATAAGACGTTAGATGTTCAGTGTGGTTCAATTTCTGAGCCATTTGTCCATCCAAGTCATCCCCATCCCTTGTATTACGTTATAGCAAAGGAAGAAAGACGTTGCAATGGTTTCAACAAGTGGGAATTGTGGGAATTGCAGGTGCTCATATGCATTGAACATGGTTGTGAATTTATCTTGGGCTTCAAATGCGCCACTTTACCACAAGTGGTAAAGCATAGAGTTGACGATCATCCTCTCTCACTATGTTATAGCGGCGAAAAGTCAAGTGGTAAATATTGGTGTGAAATTTGTGAGAAGCAATCTGATCCAACAAAGTGGTTCTACACGTGTAAAGATCACCGAGCTACTTTGCATACAAAGTGTATGCTCGGAGACTTTGCAGGGTTCATGCCAAGAAGCACAATAAAATTTCAGGGCACTTCATATGAAGTAGTACTCAATGATAGTATATCTCGTCCATTTTGCAAGGGGTGTAAGTCGCGGTACATGTACCCTATCACCTTGAAGAAGCTCGGAACCTCGAATACATACTTGTGCTCGGTCTACTGCAAGATGCTAGTCTTTGTACAGGATGCCTAGCGAGCGAAGTGAACTTATAACTCAAAAGGGGAATCATGCCTGTGATGCCAAAATATTTGTTTAGATCTCTTCTGTTATTCATTTTACAATTTCATTTCCATTATGAATTGATTTCCTTCATGTATTATTTATCTAAGGACCTTGATATATTGCTTAGTTATGATCTGTCTTTCCTAGGTAATATTTTCAGCCTTTCGTTTTCTACCAAATCAATCAAACAACGATGCAAAGACTTTATTTTTATTCTTCATCTTATGCCGATACACACAAGTCCAATTTAACTGGAAAAGATTCCTCCGGAAGAGATCCATGTCTACAACCTGCATGTAAATCCCTCATCATTAGTTTTTGAATTTCTCGTTTCTATCCGAAGAGATCACCTATTTAGTTTTTCTCGTTTCCATATAAGATTTACAAGTTTCCAACATTCAGCCTGGAGTTCATCTTCTGTCATCTGTACGGTACTATGCTCTAATCTGGTCCAAACTTTCACAAGCTTGTTTGCCAACTGTTGCTTTAGTTTAGCCATATGATAGAGTTTACAGTGAGTTTTATATTCATCAAGAGAGAGGAGTCACAAAGTGGATCAATCTTAGCATCAAATGAGACTCAACCATACTGTAATCAACAACTTAAGTACGTGCTAAGAAGAGCTGAAATCGAGATAAACAATCCTTCGAAAAAGACTTCTAAATTGGAAACTTGGTTACATTTCCAAATTATCAAATCCTCATTGAGATATTGTATAAAGCAAGACTTGGAGGTAAACGTAATCTTCAAAATCTACAACAACTTCTCAGTGTATGATTCTCAAACTGAGTCATTAAGATAGGAGGTTTTCAAAAGTTAGGCTGTGGCAAATTTGTGAGTGCTTCAATTTGCACTTTCGCTTGGCCGCGGATGATGACATTCAGCTGAAGTAGAAGTAAAATCGGCGAATCTGTTTTCTTTTTTGTGATCACTGATATACAAAACGAACTGGACAAACTTCTATTTCGTGGAAAGAGAAACGACGGTAACGAAAAGAAGATGATCAAATAGAGCAAAGAAGCATTAATCAATGAGCTATTTAGAGTTGAACGATCGAATAAAATATCGACAGATCATCAAGAATCAAACCAGCAAGCATAAACCATAAGTCTGATATTTTATCAAGGGAACTAATATTTTACCTTGTAATTTCTGAGAGCCTCACTCATCTGTATATTCTCTTTGGAATATAACAGAAAGAATGTGTTGGAATTTGTAATAATCTTCTCCTCCTTCCGACAATCTTTCTTTCACTCGCCGTCCCATAAATATAGAAGTTAGATCCTTTAAAGAAGTGACGAATCGCAGCCCATTAGGAAGCTCCTTTAACTTACTCCAACACCTAATATCTAGAGTATGAAGAAGTGACATGGAGCCTTCTTCTACTATCCACTTTTTCCACTCCTCTAGTCCACATAATACAAGCTTATGCAACTGAGGAAACCCACCAGCCGAGCAAACCATTCTCACCCCAGAGAAAGAACGATACCATAAAGTAACCTCATCTAAGTGCAGCAACTTCTCTAGAATCGGCATCGGATCCTCCTCCAAACGACACCCGGTTAGAGATATCGTTGTAAGGTGAGCAGGGAAATGTTGTTCATCAGGTAACTTTGGCATATGTATTCTCAACTCCAGCTGTTTGAGATGAATGCAATCCAAAACAAATTCTCTTGCCATGAAGGTAGAATTGATTATAGTAAGATTTTCCAGGTGACTCAATTTACCTAGAGATGAAGATAGAGTTTCAATAGTACACTCCACGTTGTTGATTATGATTGAGAGAGCATAAGGTGAAGATCAGTCACTCTGCTATGCTCTAATGAGAAATTCTCTAAAGTCTCCAGGCTGAATAGATAACCTGTTTCCAACAGTAAATTACAATGCATCTCCTTCGGAAAAGAGAGGTATCTCAATCTATACATCTTCTTGAAGTATTAGGCACATAGAGTGGAGATCCTCCAGCTACCTCTAGGTTTAAATAGAGGAGTTGCTTCAGATTCCGCATAGAAGAAGGTAGATGAGTTATGTATCCCTGATATAACCTTAAATATCTCAAGTGGATCGGATGAGCTTCCCAATGTTAGAGGGCAACTTCCCTCCTTGAAACTTGGCTCCAGAGAGATCTAATACCCTCATCAACTGTAGCTTGGTAAAGAATAAACCTGATGTCATCCAGTTGGGATCTAAGGCTTGGATTCTTCATCTCCCCCTCGACATTAAATTTTGCACCAGGCCAATGTACAGCGAGTCTGCGAGATTTATAAGGAGATTTAGAGTTTGAAGTTGATGTCCCACCAACAATATTTAGGAAGTTCTCTTCTTTGGCTTTAAGAAGACACATTTCTCTCATCATGTCATGCAACTGACAAGTTTCAAATCTTGAAGTCCTACCATCTCTTTCAGACATAACCATGTTTCTCTTAACCAATTCTTCTATGTACACATCTGCAACATCTCGAATGCTTTCACTCTCATAATTCTTGGGATTTAGTATTCCTTCTGCAGCCCAGCAATAAGACAATTTTTCCACATCTATTGGACAATCTTCTGGAAAATGGGCAAGGTAGAGAAAGCAATGTTTCAAAAGAATAGGCAACTCTTCAAAGCTGAGAGACAACACATGGTGAACTGAATTGCGATTTCCGTCACTAAAACTAGTTCTTCCAGCCAGGTGAGATCCAATATCCTCATATACCTTTTTCCACTCACTTAATGTGTGTTGGGCAGCTAACAAGCCTCCTAACACTTTGACAGCCAATGGTAGTCCTCCACAATGTTTGATAATTTTCTTACCCATCTCTTCCATTTAAAATCAAGATACTATGCAACTAGATGTAAAAGAGTTTTTAAAAGTGAAAAAGATATCTTCCTTGGAAGCTTACCCGTTGTGTATTTCCTTGGAAATGCTGTCCTCCGAAAAAGTGTCAAACTTTCTTCAGGGGTTAGGCATTTTGGTTTTAAAGTAACACATGCTGGATCTACACGTAATGCAAGAAGTAAGTAGTATCTTCCATCCTGAAATGTATTTCTCTAGTTATAATTGACTAAACAAAAGGAAATTGTGTGCTTTTCATACTCTATATATAATTTAGGACAGTCAATATTTAGAAATGATATAGCATCCTTAATTATGTAGTATAAGATGTCACCTTTTGTTGGTGGAAACACATGCTTTATACTGTCCCAATCTTCTTCTTTCCACATATCATCCAAGACAATCAAAGACTTGCTGGTTTCCAACAGTCAAAGACTTCAGTCATATCTGAGACTCTATGTTCGTCATGCGTCGAACAAAGCCTCTGCAAGATCGTCTTCCACACATACTTTCGAGTAAATTGTTGTGAAATACACACCCACACAAATCCATCCAAACAGCTTTTTATCATCTCATGATTAAAAACTTGTCGAGCCAGGGCAGTTTTACCAATACCGCCCATCCCAGATATAGAAACCACTTGAATGCTCTCCTCTTCTACCAAATAGCCAACCAATATCTTCACATTTTGCTCCAAACCCACAAAATCGCATTCATTGTCGCTAGGAAAAGTATGTCTCATCTCCCTTGAAGAGGTTGTGAACACCTGCCATCGGCAATAATCTGTTGTCCCCCGAAATATGTCATATCGCTAATCACCTTGGAAATCCTCTTACTTATGCCTTCCATGTTGGATGCAAGTTCCCTGCGATCCAATATTATGAAAGGAAGTCTTCTCATGCGCTTCCTGATCCCACTCGTTCGTCCAAGTTCTTCCTTAAGAAGAAAGTTTTGGATTACATCCTCTGCATCGAAAACGATTTCCTTGATCTCTTCCACACAGTTTTTCACCATTGAACTTGTATGTTTCTTGGCATCTGCATCTCCCAAAAAGCACCTCAACATATTCAGATCACTTTTCAGTCCATTGAACTGCTCATCAACTCCCTGAAGTCGCTCAGATTGTCGAACAAGGAGGTTCCAAAGCTTCTCGACTCCAAACGACAAAAGTGTTTCCGCCATATATCTCCTGTTTAACCAATAAATGAGTAGTAGTCAACAATTACTAGAGGAAGAAGATTCATGAGTTCACAAACATCTTTTGCAAAATTTACAGAAAAAAATATACACTACTTTGTAGGATTTAAACAACAGATCAGTTCGACAGAAGAAAAAAGAATCCACAGATCGTAGCACCTTCTTACTCCAAAGTTAAAGTATGACAATATTTAGTAAAATCTACATAAGATTAATTAGACATTTACAAGATTATGGAAATCGTTATCTCCACAAATTGGAATTGAAGGTAGTAAAGTCTCGAAATTATTTCTATGGAAATGTATTAAAATATATCGTATATTTTGTGGAGATAATTTTAACGATTTCAATTATTCGTCCCCACCGACGTGTTTTGTGAAAAGATGCCTATGTGTCATCTCCACAATCACTCTCACTAAAACAATTATGATATGGCTAACAAAATTGTGACATGACAATTTTGAATCAGTAGCAAAATTTTGTACAACTAAATTTATATTTATTACCCTAAATAAATCAAAAGAGTTTTTAATCAATATATTATCAGATTTTTCGTTTTATTCTGAAGTTTTATACAAATTTAGTTTCTCATTTAAAAAGTAGTTTAGAAATTGATTATTATAAAAATAAAATTATAGAACATTTTTATAGAATATATATTCTTTTGAAAATAATAATAAAGACTTACCAAATTTTTAAAAGAGACTTTGATATCTCTATGAAAAAAAACTTTTCAAGTTTATAACAAAAAATGTAGTTATTCTTTTGAATTTTTTTTACGCCAGACAATTTGAAAGTAATAAAAATATTTTTTTATTCTAAAGCAGCAATTTTTTAATCCGCATTTTATTTATAAAATTTACGATTATATATTTTAATGTTTTAAAATATTAAATCATTTATTTGTATTCTAAATTCTTCTTATGGTATTTGGACAACCCAAAGTTAACATGTTTTTTTTTTTAACTCTTATGTACTAAATTATTATACTTTTTGAGTTGACACGTGAACATATATAAAATAACTTCCTAAAGTTAATAACAATAAATATAATTATTCTTTTGAATTTTTTTTTTAATACAAGACAATTTGAAAGTAATAAAAACAATTTTTAATTCGAAAGCAACAATTTTTTTTTAATTTGTGTTTCATTTATAAAATTTATGATTATATATTTTAATGTTTTAAAATATTAAGTAATTTATTTGTATTCTAAATACTACTTAAGTTATTCGGACAAGCCAAATTTAACATTTTTTAAAACTCTAATGTATTAAATTATTATACATTTTGACTTGACACATTTACATATATAAAATAATTAAATGGTAAAGCTAAATTTCTGAAATTCATATTATTAATAAAAACGATATTATTGACCAAAAAAATTAATAACAGCAGAATCAACAACAATTTTTATAA